AAAAGGGGAACAGTGTATGCATAGAAATATGCGCGTGCATTATATACACATGCAGTAATTCTTTTAAAAAATTACATTAAAGTCCACACATATTGCTTGTGATATTTTGTTCTTGCTATCCGTTGACGGACTAAAATGAATCTGTTTTGGCTTCTACAATTGTAATTATTTTCGAAAAGATCGGAATAAAGTACTTGTAATCGTTCATTGACTCGATGAAATCTGGAGCTCGTGTATCTGAATTGATAATATTATAGATTCATTTGTCTTTCAGTAAAATTGAAACGCGTACAATATTTTAATTTCGTCAATAAATAATTAAATACAAACTAATAGTTGACATATATACTAACCCAAGGACAGTTCCACAGATCAGAGTACTTAAAGTAATTACATGGTCTGTATTGGCCACAAAGTTATCCAAAATATTTTAAATAATATTTTCGAAATGTGCATTATATTCAGACGAATAAAATCACGAAAAATGATCATTGTTAAATTAATAAACAAGATTGCAATCCATCCAATTATTATTCGAATTATCAAGTTACGCAGCATTCGGTATTCCTTTGGCACACCGAGAGCTTCCAATGAGTTGTCTACTATGGAGAGTTCACGTAAACATGCTTTCAATTCCTTTAAATAATCATGTTGGCTGGTTATACGGCATAGAATAGAGATTTGGCAGTTAAGATGGGATCCCCCCCCCGGACAAAAAATCAAAACAGCACCTATGCCAGAATTAAGTGCTACTTATGTACTAATTATGTGCCTAATGCCAATTATTGTGTTCGAACAGTGCATTAAACTGACAATCGCGATTAACCTTGGAGGTGCAGATTTATCGTTAAGTTAGCACCTCTTTTCTTTAAATCATATACAAAATTAAAAAATTAGTACGGTAAAATTATGTGCTCTTCAAGTGCTATCTATATCATACATCAAAATTTGTGTAACAGAAACGGTCTAAGAGATACACGAATATATCAATATATTTAGAACCATGATATAACAACTATACAAGAGTAAAGTACCTGTTACAATGCAGACAGCAAATTTGTTTTAGGCTCAAATTGTTCCATTTATTCCTCCATTTATGTACTTTCAAAATATGTACAACGAGATTTCAGTGCTCACCCTCTTGGACCGGTCCCCCCCCCCCCCCCCCGAATTGAGCACTAACCGTCTCGTTACAAGAGTGAAGTGCCAGTTAAAATGTTTGATATAAGTATGTCTAACTTTTCTTTGCATGCTCTTTTCTCTGACAGATTTTTCGTACATTAATTACCAATTTAAACTACATAAGAAATGCGTAATATAAACAAAAGTATAATAACCTACGTCTTATTTTATAAACGTTAGTGGCGTTTTAAAAAAACAGTTACGCGATATCTTTTTTTAATTAAACTACATAGTTAATAACAACACAATCATCCAAATTTACTCGAAATTTTTATATATATTTCTATAAAAGTAGATGTATTGTAGAATATTATATATATACTGCATATACATGTTTGCAACACAAAGATTAAATCAATACTTTTACAAAATTCACGAATTAGTTTCCTAAATTGTATTGTCATGAGATAAGATTAATAACTGACAATAATAGGCGAATTTTGGCGTGCCTCTGGTATAGCAACCAAAAGCAACCGTGATTGAGGCTATCTCTTTGTCTTCTGATCCCTGAAAACAAAGATAGCCTTAGTCGCGGTTACTTTTGGTTGCTATACCAGAGGTACGCCAAAATTCGCCTAATAAGAATATTAATTAATATCAAGTATTAAATTGAAAAATATATCTGACAATGAGCGAATTTCATTCTTATGAAAATCGTATTTTGATTGTAATTAATTAATAATAATAAAGCATTCGGGTTTTATCAAAAAATTATAAAAATTAGGAATTAATTAATTATTAGGTGTTAGTTAATGATTACATTTATTAAGTTTTCCATTATTTTCATTAAAAACTAATTCGCTGTATGCATTTTAACTAGCATTTTAGTCTTGTAAGGAGACGGCGGGTGCTCACTAGGAGGGTGATTTCCGATCCAAGGGGGAATGCACAAAAATATCGTTGTGCGTACCTTAAAAGCACATAAATGTAGGAATAAATGGAACAATTTGAGCCTAAAACCAATTCGCTATCTGCTGTTTAATTGGCACTTTACTCTTGCACCAGTGATATAATATGTATCGAAACAAAAATTTTCATGCATGATATTGATAGCACATAAATTTACTGAACAAATTTTATGATTTTGTTTATGATAGAATAAAGGATTCTAACTTATCATAAGCTAGCACCCCCACCATTAATCGTAATTTTTTGCTAAACCGTTCGAGCACACAAATTAGAGCACATAATTAGCACACAAGTAGCACTTAATTCTGGCATAAGTGCCGTTTTTATCTATGTGGGAGTTATTGCTTAACAAATATGTAATAGAGAAAATATTATAATTTTATACTTAATAAAGATTGCTATAGCAATGTGTACAGAAAATGTGTTAAATACAAATGATTCGTATTTTAATAATAATAACATAAATTAATTATTACAAAGACCAATTTTAGACGTAATACAAATCTTAATTTTACCAACATACATTATCTACAATAAATATTACTATGAACATTAAAATTGATTGAAAAAAAAATTTATGTCTTCACATTTTTCCAAACTAAAAAATTTGTAGTTGCCAAATTATCTTTAACACTTTTAATTAAAAATTCGATTAAACGTAAATTATGAAATATTCAAAGTTCAATAATCAAAAATCAATAGAGGAAAGTCACCGATACTGACATAGGTCTTCTAAAGTGACACCCCCTTATTTCTTGTAAACTAATCTTTGCACTTCATTAATACTAATGAAAACATAATCTGTTTAGGTAACTAAAGAAGTAAAAACCCATAATTCATATATATGTGGCTTGTTTCTATATAAAATCAGCTAAAAACGAATTCTACAAATGTGAAAACAAAATTCTTATAATGTTATTTTATAAATTACGTAGTTTAAGTAAATAGTAGCTATATTAGTGATAATATTAAGTCCTTTTATATGTTTGTAGTTTTCTAAAACTATTTTATTTATATTTTCCTATCTTTGTTTTTTTATATTTCCTATTTTTGTATCGTGCGTATACTGACATAGGTCTTCTAAAGTGACACCCCCTTATTTCTTATAAACTAATCTTTGCACTTCATTAATACTAATGAAAACATAATCTGTTTAGGTAATTAAAGAAGTAAAAACCCATAATTCATATATATGTGGCTTGTTTCTATACAAAATCAGCTAAAAACGAATTCTACAAATGTGAAAACAAAATTCTTATGATGTTATTTTATAAATTACGTAGTTTATGTAATAGTAGCTATATTAGTGATAATATTAAGTCCTTTTATATGTTTGTAGTTTTCTAAAACTATTTTATTTATATTTTCCTGTTTCTTATTTTTCTTATAATACGGTTTTAAAAATAAAATCGTTTATAGCCTAAAGGCCGCAGCACACACTTTTGCATGACGCATAATGCATGACGCATAAGAGAATCAACCAATCAGAGTCCTTCATTTTCATCCCTACTGCTTGCTCTACGAATCTTGCATAGTGCATTAAGCATAATACAGAACGTGTCGAAAAATCCGTAAATTAGAGACCTTCATTTTCATCCCTACTCCTTGCTCTACGAATCTTGCATAGTGCATTAAAGCATAAATACAGAACGTGGCGAAAAATCCGTAAAGTTGAATTTTTATGTTTATGCAAGTTATTGGCCATGCCACTTCCAATTTCGTTCTAACCTTTTTAAAGGTGTTAAAACTGTTGTTTCTTATATTGATTGGAATTGAACATCAATTGAAAATATATAATATGGATCATAATTCATATTATTTTGACACTCATTATCAATATGATAATACTGATCAGGAATCATCGAATGAAATAAACATCCAAGAGATTGAAGAGGTGGATGGAGATGGTATACTAATTTCTTTAGTACAAAGTCATCCGTATTTATATAATAAGGAACTGACTGATTTTAAGGATAGCGTTAAAAAAGAAAATGCTTGGATAGAAATAGCCAAGATTTTAAACATTACTGGTACGTAATATCTCTATAATTTTTTATAATATTTTACTAATTTTATTTGTTGAAAAGTAAACTATATATATATATATATTCAGTAATTTTGAATTATTTTTAAATAATTAATATTTAGAAAGTAAAATTTTTTAAATAAATTGTATGTTTTATTTATGAACGGTATGATTCACAAAACGTTGGTATTAAAAATAAATATAGACACAGCGATAAACCGCAAACCTTCTGATATAATTATATGTATAAGATTAGTATAATTTTCATTTTTTTACTACAATTAATATAATTTTCATTTTTAGTCAATGATTGCCAAACCAGATGGACACGTCTGAGAGAGCGATATACACGAGAAAAAAAGCAAAAGAAAGGAGAAACAACAACTGGAAGTGGATCATCAAAACGAAAGGCCTTTGAATATTTTGATAATATGCAGTTCTTAGAGCCATTTATTAGAAAGAGAAGGTATAAAGTTAACATAATAAGAAAAAATCTTTTTTAGATCCAAAGCGAATCTTAATGCTTAAAATAATAATATATATATATATATAATGTATATAATTCTTGTACTTTTCCAGTTCTATAAACATACTGATATATAGTTTATTGGGCTTAAAACACAATCATACTAGCTGGAAGTAAAACCACAAATCAAATTGTTTGTCAAGTCCAAATAAACTGTATCAACTAGCAGTTTATAGAGCTAAAAAAAGTAATGTGAAAAAGAATAAACATTTATATTATATATAAATATCATTAAGTACCATAATCCGCTTTGCACCGAATAAAGGATTTTTGTTATGATATTTTTCTTGTAATTGTATTCTTTCTTACTTAAAATTAAAACTTCTTGTATAAGTGATCCTTTTGCATTATTTTTTTTTCTCCAGAACAATGACTAACTTACAGATAAAAAGAGCGCCTCCGTCAATAGGATATTCTAATTTTCAAAGGTTTATAAAATTTATCTATCTCTCTTTTTACGACATTATTTTCTAATTTTTATACATTTATGTAAAACTTTGAAAGCATACATTTGCGAATCAGTAATAAAGTTTCTTTTTTTTTTTTTAGAAATTATAGCTCAAATGATGGCAAACAAAATAAGTTGTCTTGCACGAATGTGGCTGATAAAAATAACGACAACGACATACATTTAAAAAGTATGCCCAGTATGCCACTGCCAAAATACACCAGTCTTCAAAAGTTTGTAATTAATCATCATATATAACTGGAAGTATATGTGTTCGCAAATCAATAAGGGAATTTTTTCAGGAACTTTAGCTCAAATGATGACAAAGAAAATAACTTGCCTCGCATGAACGTGACTATTTCTGATGAAAGTAATGACAACGACGTACATATAAAAAGTATGCCACTGGCAAGATATTCCAGTCTTCAAAAGTTTGTAATTAATCTTCACATATAACTGGAAGTATGTATTCGCAAATCAATAAGGGAATTTTTTCAGAAACTGTAGCTCAAACGATGACACAGAAAATAACTTGCCTTGCATGAACGTAGCTACTTATGAGAAAAACAACAACGATGTATGTGTGAAAAATATGCTACCGTCGGCAAGATATTCCAGCCAAAAGTTTGTAATTAATTGTTACATATAATTGAAAGTATGTGTTAACAAATCAATAGATAATAAAATTTTTTTTCAGAAACTTTGGTTCAAACGGCAACCAAAATAACTTGTCTTCTGTGGCTTCTTCGATTGAACAGTCTTCAGCAGATATAAACAGTGATGTAGATTCAAGGCAGTATGCATTTAAAGAACTTTCGCCCAAATCTGGAAACAGTGAAAGAGCAGTGTCACAAATTTTATCACCTTCAACAGAATTTAAAGAATCAAATATATTACAAAACAGGCAAGTGAGAGTAAATTTAAAATCTACGCGGTTGGTCCACACGAAAAGATATTAAAACCAAATGGACAAAACCAAAAGGAAAATCACAACCTGATTTTTTACAAAATACAATTTGTAAAGTAACCTCTTTATTAGAGAATAGATCTACGACATCTTCATTGTCATCTTTTAACTCAGAAATACCAGAAGACGTTGCTTTTTGTCAGCTCATATTATCATTACTCAAAAATATGGTTCAATCTGAAAAAACACAAAAAAAAAGGAAATATTACGAATCATATACGATTTATAAAATTGTGAACATAACTCTTACTATACAATTCAACTTAATTATACAATTATCCCAAAAAGTAATATATTAGTTAGTAATTGTATACTTACACATACATGTTTCTAACATAATGCACAGAATCGTTAAATTAAATGCAGATCTGTTTATTATTTATTATTTTTTATTCTGCAGATTTTTTTGTTTTGTATTAAAAAATTCGGTGCAATATTACATAGAATAAGTTTAAAATAATTAGAAATTTTTATTTTTCTATTTATAGCTTTCATTGTGAGCTTTAATTGTGATAATTTTTTTGTTAATTAATCGCTTTTGAGTTAATATTGTTAAGGTACAAGAGAAGAATCCACTCAATCATATTATGATTGATCACAATCACAGCGATCAATGCTTGATGTTTTTTCATTTTATGTTCATTATGATGAATCACAAATGATAACATGAAGTGCGATTCACTTAATACTATTTTCTTTGCCGTCATTTGAGCCTCCAGTTTCTTAAGAAAAAATTTATTTTTTATTTAGAGTACACATGCTTTCAATTAAATGTGAAAATTATAAATTTAATGCTTCGAAGCATTCTTTGATTACTTAACGAAGTTTCAATTTAAATGGGCCGATAATTAAATGGATTCTTTTTAAATAAAATGGTAACATGATAATTCTGTCATTTCGGATTGTGAATACATACTACAAGAGGTTATTTTCTATAATTTCGTTATACATTATATTTGCAATTCTTTTAATGTTACCTACATGATCGAATAAAGTTCGAATAGAGTTGAATACTTGTACTCGAGAAATATTGTATGTCAGTACACTATGTCAATTATTGATTGACGTAAAATAATTGTGTACTTAACCTGCGTTGTAATGAGAAATCGTTAAAACTCAATTTAATTTTAAGTTCATTGGTACATATTTTTCTGCGCGGTGAGAGATTATTTACTACAACAAAAACAATACGTTTTATTTCATTTATTTTGCCATAACTTCTATCTGTATCTAAAACAAAGATGAAATAAATATATGAATTATTTTTTCAAAGTTTTTAGTGCTCATATTTTTTAATTATCCTAAATCACAATTTGAAAACAAGCTCCTTATGCAAAATATGTATTCATGTTAAGAATTTTTACTAATTGTCTTCATATGTCGTTTGCTAAACTTAACAATTCCTGAAAAAATACGAGCAATATATTGTGTACATTGTACAGATTTACTTTTGATTAGAACAAATGTCTTATTCATACTTGCAACTTTTGTATAGTAGTAAAAAATTAATTACACTGTTATTGCTTCTTAACGTTGTCTTCTATATTACAGTAATCGCAAATTTGTTTTTAATAATAAGATAATATGACTATTTTAACATATATGCGTCATAACATTTAATGTTTTACATTGTTGCTCAATTAAAATACAACTTCAATAATTAACTAAACCCAGGATATTATATATGAATCTAAGTTCAACAATTCTGTACTGAATGAATTTATTATCTGATATATGTCATTTTTTTATTAGATTCGTATATATCCAATAGTAAATAGTAAAAATGATATATCAGCTCGGCACATATTCTCTCTTCTACTCAATCTATCTGAATTCATTATAAAGTGAATCTTGAATCAGTAAAAATATTTGCAAGCTAGTACGTCTGTAATTATATGTTGCGTCTGGATACAAATTGCTTACGTAAAATTGATAATCAAGCCATGTTCAAAAATAGATCCTCGCAAATTAAAATTAAAACGATTATCTAATATAATATATGATGACCACGAAAAGTAACTGATATATTACTAAATGTGCCAGTTCAAAGTGAACGTACATATAACGAATATTTTCTATGTTGAATATGTACCACGAAAAGGAACTGATAGATTATTCAAGGTGCAAATTCAAATTGAACATACATACA